GCACCTAGTAGCATGACATTTATTAGGAATGAAGACTTCTGAGTTCTGGTGCATTTGTGCGTGCATGGGTCATTATGTTACCACTTTGCGGTATTTAGTTTGTATTTTTTCAGTTTGTATCCAGGCAAGGATTTATAGTTTAGTCTCGTGCTATGTTATCACCTTCAGATTTTGTCTCTTCTGAGCTTGCTGCGTCTCTTGACACAGTCACCCCCACAGTCCTTCATGGGACTGTTGTCATGGAAARGCTACAGCCGCCCTGGGGAATCTCCTGGCAGAATTGTGGGGGGTTGCAATGGCTGGGGTGGAGGCTGGCAAAGGGTGTAGGGTCCCAGCGGGAATTCCCGTTGTTTTTATAGGCTGCAGTGACGCCAAAACTTCTTGGGGGGAAAAGCAATAAACCAGTGTCTCTTTGTGCTCTTGAGTCTCCACTTGTTGGTCAGCGGTGGCCTTTTAACCTGCAGTGTATAGAAGTGACATCAACGGGTTTCCAGGGGYGCAGGACGGAAACGTTTAAAACAAATGTTTTTTTTTTTCTTYTGAGGTAGTTACAAGCATTGAAATGAAAACAAATAGTGAGTGAGATCATGACTTGGTTGAAGATGAATTTATGATATTGGGGTTGAAAGACTTGCAGACAGAATGAAGTCCACAATACTAGTCTGTGCATCTTCAGTATTTGTACGCATTTTAACTTYACTTCATTGATAAAAATGTTCATTACAAAGGGTTACACTGCAAATACCAAACTGAGGTAAGGATTGATTGGATTTAAAGAAAAACTATGTAAATATAGTATGAATGGGAGGGAAAATTTTAAAATTTTATAAAATAGCTGCATTTTAAATATGTGGTTGGACAATAGTTTATTTTTATCRTACTAAACAGCATCATTTTAAGTGAGTTTTTAATTAAACTGGACCTTTTCACATTTGCAAGAGCATGGTTAAAAACCTATAGGCTAGGCTTATTTGGAAGGACAGAATATAATAAGCCTAGCCTTTTATGAATAATGAATTTAACTTGTAACACACTTTTCATTAGTAAAAAYCTCAAAGTGCTACAAGTGGTGGAAGATGAAAGATGTAAAATCAGGAACAATAAAAATCCCCCCCACCCAAAAAAAAAATTTAACATGTTTAAAATAGGCACAGATCATAACAAT